TGTACTAGTGGGACCTTTTGATGTAATCCATGTTTCTATGTAATGAAATATGTGTTTTATGCAAATGTGGAGTATGGGGTGTTACACGGTAAGTGTTTACCGGTAAAATTTAACACTATTATTTTCTTACCGGGTAAGATTTTAGTCCACCAAAACGATATCGTATGCAATAATTTACCCGGTAAGCGCTTACCGTGGTAAGAGTTGTCGCCCTTACTTACCGGGTAAAACTTATGTTCCTTGTCTCGTTCTTACCGGGTAAGATTCTTGGTCCTTACGATATTCATCCAATGAGATAATGTTACTTAATAAGCGCTTACCCGAATAAGCGTTTGTTGAACGGCCCCCAAGATTAACAAAGTTGGTATAAAAGATTAAATCCATAACAAAAGTGAAACTATGATGACTATACATGTAATTATTTCATTTTGGGACTTAATCCAAATTTTCATATAACCACAGGGACTAAATTTGTAATTTACTCTAAAATATGAATATGGATTAAATTTTGAGGAAGAGGAGTAAATATATGTATGTGACTAGATTTACACGGGGTTTAAAGGCCGCCACAAGTTCTTGTTACATTTTGGGGGAAACCTGCGTCCATCTTCTCCTAGTGTTCTTCCGCTGATTTATGGATTTTCCTAATTGAATCACAAAATCGCAGGTACATTTTCCTCCATCTCTTTCGATTGATCTACGCACAACTACATTTAATGTTCTTACTTAGGGTTTTAAAGCAACCGGTGAAATTTCAGTAAATATATGTTAATGGTTATTGAATGCATGCTTAATTATTTGTATCAGATTGTGTTCTTCTGATGTCTAAGTAATTGATTCTATCACCAAGTTTGCTGTAAACTTTTAATTTTCTAGAGGCGTATGATTCCTATTGATTCCATTTATGTGTTGCTCAAATATGCAGCAATTTCTCTAGCTCTCAAATTATGCACTTTTTTCTTTATGTACCGGGTTAAGTCTGTGCAATGGTGTTGATAAATTGTTTTGGTTGGGTCTGCAGCATCATAACTTATCCAAAGAGGTGATAAAGCAGTTCAGTTTCATACTGTACAAACATTCCGATTTCGTAACACATCTAATATTGGAAAAATTAGTACTTGTGTTCTTCCAAGTTATCATAGATCACCGTGGAAATTGTATTATGTTTGATAAAGGGTGTAGATTCAGGTATAACGATTTATGAAGCTAATTCTATAGGTGACAGCAAATGGTGAGCAAATGCTTTTAGGATACTAGACCAAGGTGATAACTGTTTTTCTTCTTTGTCAAGTGTGTTTCGGATCAGTTGATTCTCTTTCACCCCTTTGCTTACACTTTTCACATATAAACAAATTTCATTTGTAGTGTATACATCATTGACTGTGGCACTCTTAGTATCTACACATATCAGCCTCCGCCCTCCTTCATTTAACAGATTTGAATGATCTTTTTGTTTGCATACATGTTGAATGTAGTTTTCAAGGTTTAGGGGGTCTTTGGTTAGAGGTATTAAGCAGTAATTAATGGAAATGGTAATAAAAGAAACTGTTTGGTTTATATATATGATATAATGGGTTCATTCCCCTAAAAGCCCAAATTTCATCCCGGGTTAAACTCCAGTCATTTTCATTCCGATTTTCGTTCCACATCCCATTAATGTTCATGTATGTTTCTTGTTCAGATATTGGTAAATTAATGTTCATGTATGTTTCTTGTTCAGATATTGGTAACATTGTGCAGTTATGGTTCATATACTGCATAGCATATACGGTCATCCGTGTTTATGGTCTGACCGGCAATAAAACCAAAATGCGTATACAGTTGAACATAGTACTTCGAGGTTCTAACATGGATTCTTGGCTTTCTTAGTTGATTGAGAATGTTCCAACTTCCACTAATCATATACATAAATACACAACAGTTGGTGAATACAAGTAAAAACTGCTTTATGAATACCTATCGTTTTTTCCTCTGCAGCGGTCAGGAGAATGCGTAAGACATAACCTACATTTATCATTTATCAAACACGTAACAAATGGAAACTCCACAAAAGGGAAATGAAAACCATCAAGAAGCCACAAGTCCCTCAAATGCTGGTGGCTTTAGAGGGTTGATTTATGAACAGTACTGTAAAGCCAAAGAAAATGCAGAAGCGTATCCTTATGTGTGGGCTTCCTATCTTATTGTGTATGGTGGATTTGGTCTTTGGGTGTCATATCGCTACAGAAAGCTCTGTAAGACTGAAGACAGAGTTAAAGCCCTTCAAGAGAAACTTCGCAAACTTCGTCAAGAGAGAGAGCCAGGAAGCTCCACTGCCTCGACTGAAAATGTACCATCGTCCTCCAATAAACCTACCAAATAGTCTCTGGTAAGCTCCGTTTCAGTTGAATGAATTTTGCAAGGGAAATGCTTTGGCATAAATCCTAGGATCTTTTTGCTGATATTTGTGTAGACATTAATTTTTTTCATATGAGTGTTATTAGGTTTTTTGTACCAAAATTTACACTACACATACTTTGCAGAAGAAGTTTATGTTTGATCATTGGTTGAGATCACTTTTGGTGATACATGTTTCTTCTGCTGGAAATCTTCATTTCAATGTTGAACTTGAGGAGACTTCTAAAGAATTGAATATTTAGTTTAAATGCAACCTCTCTAACTGCTGAATTTTTGTTCTGCTATACATGATTCGTACAGTCATGCTTGTCATAATAATGAACTGTGAAAAGTTCCAGCAAAAAAATGGTTAGGATGTAGTATAGCATCATCATCAACTCAGGTATATGATACAGTTTTGAAGGTTTCCAATTTTGGGTTATCAAGTACTGCAATGTCCGTATCCACTTTTCATGCGTCTTCAAAAGGTGTACGGCCACTGTGTCTGGCCAAGGCTCATGTGTACCCCTTGTCGGTGGCTCTGGATAGTTATACATTGACCACTTAGCATTATGGCGGTTTTTCCCATTCCGTGAAACTTTATCTTCAGGCCCTTCTATGTGCTTTTTTGGGATATCCGAATCTCTTAGCCACTCAACTATATCCCATGATACCAAACATCCATACTAGGGCATGGGATAACATAGCCATAGTATAAGTCTTCTCTTGGTAGTGGCATTAGCTCTCCGCCAACTTGTTCAACCGGAAAATATGCATCGTCATCACCCTTCATCACGTAATGGTGGTGATTCTGAGCCTAACTTGAAGTCTACACGAATGGACAATCGTGCCCTTGGAATCAAAAGAGATGCAACCTGTGTTGACCAGCTTCTGATAACTTGGTTTGAGGATGTTTTTGGTAAATTGGCAGCAGAAAGAAAAGGGTGCATGGCCACAATGTGGTGGTGGTTCTGAGCCTACCGTGAAGTCGACACTAGGGTTGGTTGTGAATATACGATTGTGCCCTTGAAATATAAAGAGATGCAGCCTGAGTTTAGTCGGTTGACCCAGCTCCCAATAGGTTTTGGTTGGGGTGATTTTGGTAAATTGCAATTTTGAGCATAATTTGATACGAAAGCATATTTAAACAAAATTTTGCTTGAAACTGAAGTCACATTAATGGTGAAGAGATTTGAACGATTCAATTAAACATATGTACATGAACCTGAAATTAAGCCTTCAATTACATGTTATTGCTCTTTTGAACGGTTTTTTCTACGAAGCAAGACGTCTTAATGTCTCGCATAGATCATGTGTTGATGCAAGTTGGGGTCTTCTGGTAAACAACCTTTTTATCGTTTGAGACAGATATACCCTTTTTTAGACCTTATTTTTAGATGAAATATATTGGTTCGGTTTGGCTTGGTTCATAGATTATGGAGTAAATTATGTTTTTTGTTCTTGTGATTTGTTAAAAATTATGGATTTCGTCCCTATGGTTTCAAAATTTTGGTTTTCATTCTTATAGTTTGCAATTCATTTCCATTTTAGTCCATGAGGCTAAAACACTACTTTTAAGTATGAAGGACTAAAATAGAAATGAATTGTAAACCATATGAACGAAAAAAGTAATAAATTTTAAATCACAGGGATTAAAAAGATAATAAATTTTAAATCATAGGGATTGAAATTGTAATTTTAAAATCTTAAAGATGAAAATAGAAAATTTCAACATACCACATGGACTAAAAATGTAATTTGCTTTAGATTATGAGTTTCTTCCGAACGCTTGCTTGGTGGAGTTATTTCTCGAGTTGATTTTAGTGATGCGCTTTTATATTTTTACGACTTTGCGTTTGATTGGTTGAATTAAACTCAATAAGGTTGGCTTGAAAACTCTTTGTAGGGTTGAGATCGAGAAATAATAATACAAAAAGAAAAAATAAAAAAAATAATAATAATAACAAAACGATCACTTTATTATGTTTAAGTTGAATATCTATTTTTATATATTTTTTCGTTCCGTTTTTCATGAATTTTCGGTTCTTTTTCTTCAAGGGCAAATGGCCCCTTCCTCAAGAATACCCTTCAAATATTTACCGGAAATTAGTTTTTGGGAAAAGCGATTATGTTTTTAAATATTATTATATACGAATTAATTGATGCGATAAAAAATAAATATTAAGTTTTACATTCAAGATTTTTATATATAATCAATTGCATCAATTAATTTTTTTCTATTAAATTTATTTTTTTTGCATTAGTAAAAAACAATTTTTATTGTGGTAATTTAGATTTTTTTAAATGTTCAATTTGATATCTGAATTAAAAAAAAACGAGATTCGAAATGAAAAATAGATTTTATTGCATTAATTTTTGAAAAAAACGAATTTTAGTTATTTTTCTATAGTTATTTTGCAAGTTGGTTCCCCAAAATAGGAATCAGGTGCAAGTTGGTTTCCCAAAATAGGAATCAGGTACAAGTTGGTTCCCCAAAATAACGATTTTGAAAGTTGGTTCCCCAAAATAGGAATTAGGTGAAAGTTGGTTCCATTTTAATGCAATTTTCCCAAAACAAAACATGTAAATCTTTTAATATGAAATAAATATTTAACTTTGATGAACACTATCTTTTAACTGTTAAAAATATCAGTTTTCTGAAGATGTCATGTGGAAGTTAAAATTTTTAGTTCTCTGAAGAGTGTATTGAGGAGGAGTGAATCGAGGAGAATGAGCGAATCAAGAGAGAGACCAAATCGATAGAGATCGTATCTGGAGAATGAGGAGACGAGGGATGACATTGAAAATATTGAAATCTGAATCATATGGGGTTTGGATAGATTAAGGAGCGATCAAGAGATAAAATTATCATTCAGAGTTTTTTCAAAAGTCTTGTCAAACAAGATCAGGTCTTATTGAATCAGATCATACCCTCCTAATGACATCAATAAATAGTAAACAAGCAGTCCAAAATCACGTGTGTAAACGATGATGGCGTTATCATTTTTTTTTCACTTTTTATAATTAATAGAAATGTTTATTTTTTTTAAAATAAAATAAAATAAAAGACATAATTCCAGCTTGCATCCTTAAAGTAAAAAAAAAATTCAATTAATTTATAAAATTTTGTCACCATCACCACTTGGTAACGAATATTCCCTAACAATGATGGCTTTATAAACTTATTGCCACGAAATCAAGAGTCTGAAAAATGAATATAAAAAGATTAATCAATTTAGGGTCGTTTATCAAATACTTATCGGGTAAATATCTACTGACAATAGTCATCACACTCATTTCTTTTGTCGGAATGTCGGATAACATTCTCGATCATCAAAATAGATTGTTTGTAAGCATGTCTTACCCGTTAAGCACCAATCGGGTAAAGGTATTTTTTTTCTTAATTACAAGATAAGAGCTTCGGTTGGTGTCATACTCTTATAAGATAAGATTCTTGGTCCTAACGATACTTACAGATAAAAACTTACCATAAATGTCTAAAATCAACATTTTTTTAAAAACAATGAACAAATCATTATCAACCAAACCTTTTTAATACCAAAGCGTCATCCACGCCCATTGTTTCGTCTTATTGGGTCAATATTTGAATAAAAGAAATTAGGTTTTCTGATTTAAATAAAATACAGAGAAAAACGATAAAAATATTTAAGACGAGAGAGAAAGAGTCATGAAGGGTGGCTTAATTTTGTTTAGAAAAAAACTAATAAGCATTTTTATCATGTCGTTGTCTAAAAACATGTATTAATAATGTTATTGGTATTATAACGTAACCACAATATATGATACTATTATATAAGTATCGAAATTAGAGATGTAGAACTCTCGGTCTTTTTTGGTCTTCGAGCTGAGCCTTCCAAGCGTATTTTCAGAGAGTAAAAAAAGACTTTAAACTTTTATAAGTCCGAGTGGGAACTTTTGAGGTTGAAAAAGGTCTCGACCAATATTTTCTGAGTCGGAGTGTTTTGAGCTTTTTCAAGTCAGGTTTAGGCCTAATTGGGATTTGAGGCCTCGATCCAATGACGGATCTAGAAACTTTTATAGTTGGGGGCACACTTAGGGATGCAGAAAGAAATTCAAAACCAAATAATTCATTCGGATGAAAACGGATTTGGGATTTTCTTTTTGGCTTAAACGGTTCAGTTAACCAAATAAAGATAACTTATTCAAGTCGATTTTCAGTTGACTTTTTACTAATTCATTGAGATGTATAATTTTTATATTTCGAATGAAAATATCAGTGTATGCTGCAAATGGACCAATTAACAACCAGAATCTCAAATTCGGGGCCCTTGCCTTGTTCTTGTTGGAAACACAATAGAAAAATTTACTAAACAAATCTTTTTATAGCTTTAAAAAAAAAAAAAAAATTATTGGTTTGTTGGGGGCCTAGGACCCCTACCACCATGCACTAGATCTGCTCCTGCTTGGATCAGACCAGGTCACCAGGCTACAAACTCGCTAAGCCCAAAATGTGTGGGTTGGGTCAGTGGAGTATGGAGGGGGTCTAGTCGCATACCCCTATCGTCTTATTGTTCTATTCGTTGCCAGATAAGCCAGACTCGGTTCTGGATAGGGTTGGATAAGCCAGACTCGGTTTTGAATATGAGTTTTTATTTTAGTTAAAATAATATTATGTCTTTTTCTTTAAAGTGCATCCTGTGTGAAAAAGGTGTCGAAACAATGGATCACTGTTTCTTTTCTTGTTCGGTGGCAAGCATTCTTTGGAGGAAAATTTGGGCTTGGTGGGATCTTAAAGCTCCTCGACTTTCATCGGTGGCTGATTTTAAAATGCTGATCAAACAAGTAGGATCTCTTCGCAAGGTTGGTATAATATTTTTATCAGTATGCGCTGTGGCTCTTTGGCATCTTTGGAAGTGGCGGAACGAAATTCTTTATGCTGAGGATGAGGTGAAAACCAAGAAAAAAGGTGAAGATCCTTTCCCTTGTGTTCAAAATTTCTCGAAGCTTAGGATGGGAAGCAGAAATCGTAAATTTCATCTTAATTGGGAAGTTTGGTCTTCCTCTCCCTATTTTATTTAGTCTCTTTGTTTTTGTCCTCCCGCCTGTTTGGGATAGGTTTTCTTTTTTACTTTGGTTTTGTAAGGGGATGTCTTGGTTCCGTCTTTTTGCCCCTCGCTTTTTTGGTTGCGTTGTATTTTCTTGTATCTAGCTTCTTGCTAGATTTGTTTTTGTTTTAATTTAGTGGTTGGCTTGGTGAGGGTGATGGCCTGGCCGAAGCTCTCTTCTTTGTCCTTCCTTTTGCCTTTCAAAAAAAAAATTATTATTTAATCTTTCACATAATATGAGATTGTTTCCGGTATAAAAATTTGGCATTTAAATCATATATTTTTATAGAGTATATAACAAGGAAAACCTTAAATCCTTGGTAATTATTTTCGTTGACATTGATCAAGTCAACGAGAATAGTCGTGCTGTCGTGCATCTTTATCCAACCGAGTAACCGCAAATGACGGCTTTGAAAATTTACATAAATTCCCCCTAACTATTCAAAAATATAAAATGTGGTTCAAACTCAACAATTTTCTTTCAACTTGGTCCAGTTTACATAAGCTTTAATGAGTAAAAAGTTTGACGTGCACAAGACATGATTATACTTTAGCGTCCTGTTAGTCTCCATCCTTTTTTGCTTAAATATTTTTTTCTACTGTGTACATCATTCGTTACCTATTCATGTTTGTATAGGTTTTAATGCAATTTATTCCTTTATTTTAATTTAAATAGCTTTTGCTACGGTTTATACTTTTATAAAATGATCATGGCCCATGCCATTGATCCCTTTTTATAGGGTTTGATTATTGTTAACGGGAGAGGATGGTTTTCGTTAAGTTATTCAATGAAAGTGTAATTAATAAAGTGTTTTTAACCGAAATTGTAAAACAATTAATAATCTGAGGACTACTTGTGTAGTTTACTCTTAAAAGAATTTGATTTCCACTTTTTCTTTCCTTGGTAAAGTTATTATATTGTTTTTAAATCAAATTACATTTTTGGTTCATATGATGTCATAAATTACAGGGATGGACCCAACATGGTACCATTGACATGTGTTATCGTATTTTTTTTTTATCAAAGGGTAAAAAATTTCAGATTTATGAATTGTTCAACCGTATTAGTTTGTTATGTGCTATCATGTATATTTTAAAACTACAATGAGAACAAATTTTCTTTGAGAGAAATGATTTTCAATGTTTTTCTTTCATTTCAGACCCGGGTTCAAATCTGTTCGTGTCATTTTTTTAGTTAAATGGTGTCACCATTTGAAATTTTTTGCCTATATTTATTTTTATAGTTAAATGATGCAACCGTTTGAAAAATTTTCTGGGTCTGTCCTTGACGTCCTCATCATTGACGGTTCTATGGATTTAGTCCATTGTCCCAAAGATCATTAGTAGAGGTCGGTTAAGTCACCTCACATGAGGAGTACATGTCATTTTGGTCATTTTACTTTGTTTTTTCATTTTTATATAATAAATTTCAATTTACACGCATGTTTAAAGCGTTTGTACAACCATTAATACACACACAAAAATAGCTCATTTAATGGTGAATGCTTCATATATTCGCTTAGTCCTCCCTCCCTACCCCTCTCCATCTATGGTTTTCATCGTATATCTGATAACATATTTGATTGACAGAATACACCAACTTTACTAGAATCTTCAGTTTTGACTATAAAATCTCAATTCATGACTTTCCAAACTCAACATCCCTGATGTCGTTTCATTTCTTGGTTTCTTGATCCATTTTGTCCTGAAATTCTTCTGGATTTTTTGAAGAAAATGACACTAAGCTCTATGGTTGATTTAGTGAACTACAAAAACGATCCTTGTCGTAGGTTAAAAAAATATATACAAAAATGGTCTCTGAAACACGAAAGGTACAAGAATGACATCCCTGATAAGCATTTTGCTTTGAAAATGGCCCCTTAATATTAATTCCGTTTAAAATTGTAAACTAAGAGGCCGTTTACCAAATACTTACCCGGTAAGTATTTATCAACCAAATTTAACACTATTATTTACTTACTGAGTAAGATTTTAGTCCATAAAACGACATCACATGCAACAATTTACCTGATAAGTGCTTACCGTGGTAAGAGTCGTCGCCCTTACTTACCGGGTTGTCTCGGTCTTTCAGGGTAAGATTATTGGTCCTTACCATATTCGTCCGGTGAGGTAATGTGACTTGATAAGTGCTTACCCGAGTAAGCATTTGGTAATAACATTTTTATCTTCTAACCTGTTTTTCAAATAATCTATTACAAAATTATAATATATAATATATATGTGTATATATATATATATAATTTAAAAGTGAAAAAAGAATTATTTATATTTCTAACTCTGTTCGCGGTAACTTCTAATGAAAATTCAAATAAAGGGACATATTTATGTATTTGTTTATTTATTTATAAAAAAATATCCACATTTGACTGCTTCAAAGTTTAGCAGCTTAATTTAAATTTAAATAGCTTAATTGGACGTCAGTCTATAAACCACCACAAACCATCACGCGGTTGTCCCTTTCTTAATCACATCTATATAAATACCCACCAATTACCAATCCATATTATAATTCTTCATAACATACCAACTTCTTTTTTTATTCAATCAATATCCTTTCTAATTCAAAATCTCAACTTTCTTGCTCTCCGAGTTTTTTTTTTTTACATCAATGGCGGCTCAACGCAAGATCAGCCGTTGGTCTCTGTTAGGCAGGCTGCGGACCGCCGTAAAGAAGGTCACATTCCTTCTCAACTTCAACATGAACCGGTTACGGCTTGCCTCCTCCATGGTTCGTGGTGGTAATCTGAGCAGCAGGCGGCTCAGCTTCAACGAACGCTATGGCTTGACATCCATCATGTCTTCCTCCTCCGACGAAGATTACACAAACTGGCGGTCTCCAACAGCTTCTTCGTCTCCAGATCAGCAAGGTGATCAGCTACAGAAGACCAGAAGCTTTCCCTTGCAACGAACCACAAGTTTCCCTGAAGAAGATGATATTGATAAGAAAGCTGAGATGTTTATCGCCAATTTCTATCGACAACTACGGATGGAAAGACAAGTATCTTTGCAGCTCAGGTACAACAAGGATAATACAACATCCAATACTTATTCACCATGAATGTATATATAAAGATCAGTCTTAATTTTCTGTTTCCAAAAGTAAATAATGAAGTTTTTGGTGGTGATGTCGTTCTTGAGCAATTATTTTGGCCATGGGAATGACTATGGATCAGATCGATGAATCAGATTTTGAGAAAAGACTCAACGATTTGATCATATATATATATATATGGAGGTCATCATTTTGGTGTTGAGATCTTCATTTGTAATATTAGTATTCGGGTTTGTTTGTTCTTTAAATTTGTTGATTTTTTTATCGAGTTGTAGGGAAAAAAGAAAAGAATTTGGCTGCTTTATTGTTCTTGACTGAAATTTTCTACCGAACCACATCCTTCTTTAAGTCTTGTTCAGTTGGGATATGTAATTATTCATCCTTTTCTACTTTGATCTTCTGTTTCCCATCTCATCATGAAATTTTATATATAATGTCAACATGAATTGTAGTATATTGTCATTTGTATCAACTTATTTATGCACAATTACAAAAACTTAAAACAGTTAAAGATAACGATCTAATATTGAAACTACCAGTTACCTTTCGATCTCCAATGTCACCAAAATCTTAAAGTTCTCGATGGTATTGTAAGCATCGAAGTGAGGTGAGGTGATTTGTTATATATATATCTTTGCTGCAGAATAGTTTTGGATCTGTGTTTTGTATATAACATCAGAATGAAGTGAATTATGATGACGCATCCACTGTATTTCTGTGAGTGCGTTCACTGATTTGGTTAGTTGTGCATTTACTTTTTGAACATCGAACATAAAAGGATCAAAGTAGAATGAACAAAACCCATTTGATATATATGTTCACGATCTGCAGTACAAAATACAATGCCTAAGGAGCCGTTTACCAACAAAAATTTGGTTCTTGATATGTTTGCTTTCAAAGTCATGGTTTGGTCTGGGTAACCAGGTAAGTGACAGGGTCTGGGTAAGCAATGCTCAATTACCTGGTAAGAGTTTCAGTTAGTAGGGAGAGGATATTGGTAAACATTGTCTAACCATGCACTCACCCTCTAACAACCATTAAACATTTAGGTGGTGTTTGTGTTTTAAGAGGTGCTGAAGTCTGAAGTCTGAATTCACGTCTGAATTTTAAGAGGTGGTGCTGAAGTCTGAAATCTGAATTCACTTCTGAATTTTAAGAGGTGGTGCTGAAGTCTGAAATCTGAATCAGTCAGACTGTTTGTTTTTACGTCTGAAATCTGAAATCTGAATCAGTCAGACTGTTTGTTTTTACGTCTGAAATCTGAAATCTGAATCAGTCAGACTGTTTGTTTTTACGTCTGAAATCTGAATCAATAAAACTGTTTGTTTTTGTAAACTGACAAACTTCTGAAGTCTGAAATCTGAATCAATTCATTTCAATTAAATTTAACTGAAATATCCAATCATTTAAACCATTTGTAAACTACCATATACTTTTAACACATGAATATGAATTGATTCACAGTGAATAAGCTTTGAAATGAACCCTAATTATGCAAATCTTTAATTAGGGTTTATAAAGATCAAGAACAGATAAGTTGATTCACATTGCAGTTTTTCACTTCAACATCCTTCTCCTCTTTACCCTTACCCTCATCGAACTTCCATCGGAGCAATGGAGTCTCCGGTCGTGAACCCCTCTTTCCCCCTGCCGGAACTCCGTCCCTCCGCAACCGCACCCCACCGCCGGAGTTCCGGGATTTCCGACTTACTTGCTTCCTCGAAATGGGTTTTTGCAAAAGATCCGAATCTGGGGTAAAGTTTAGAACCTTCGAAGATATAATAGCCGGTAGATCCGTTTTCCCGGTGATCTTCATCTTCTCCGACTAGATTCAGTCATCAGTTTAGCTGTTAAACCCATTACTACTTGAGAAGAAGTTGAAAACGAACCGGCGACCATGAAAATGGAGCTCAGAAACACAAAGAAAGCAAGATTAAAATTCAGATGATTTCAGACTTCCATTTTTCACTTAAAATTCAGATGATTTTAAGAGGTTTTAAGCTCTTAATTTGAAAAAAAAACAGTCTGAAATGGTAAATGTCTGACCGAATCAGACTCCAGATGTAATTAAGAGACTTTTTTTGAAAAACAAACAGCCCCTTAGGGTGCATTTGGTATACTGGACAGAACAGAACAAAACAGAGATCTTGTTTCATGTTCAACAAGTCTTTTATGTAGAACAGAGAGGAACAAAGTGGAACAAACATATTCCACCCCTACTCCATGGAACAAGGTGGAACAAACGTACATTTTACTAACATAACCTCAAAATAAAACTTAAATCTCTTCCAAAACATCAAATAGGACTCCTTTTTTATATTTTATTCATTCTTTAAATTTTATTTATTGTATTTTATGTTTTTTAAACTTTCATTTTACTGTTCTCAAAACTATTCAGTCTTTTTTTTATCAAGTCGATTATAACCACTACCTACATTCCACGATAATATTATTTTTCTACGGTTTATATATTTTTATTAATTTATGTAATTTATTATATACTAATAATAAAAAACAACGTAGAAAAGGGATAATATAAAAATTGGAAACTACATAAACTTTTTATTTTGGTGTCATTTAATCGTTTTGACAAAAACTTTCTAATAATACATTTTGTTATAACAAATAATTATCTATTATAATTTAATAAATTACATAAATTCATCAAAATATATAAACAACTCGTTATAGGTAAATTGATCATTTTATTTGTTATGTCTTACCAAACGCTGAACAACAGTTCTGTCTCGTTCACGAAAAAATTAATATCTACAAGTCCTACAGACAACTTTGGACATGCCACAATGTTTTTTTTTTTTTTTTTTTGTAAGGGTGTCCGGGCCAAAGCCCGACTAATCCCCGGCAAATTTGGAGGCTAAACATGGCCCCACTTAAATGTCGCCAACACTCCCCTCCCAGGGCTCGAACTCGGGTTCATGACTATGCCATGCCCAAGCCTTTACCACTAGGCTGGAAGGTCTTTGACGTGCCACAACGCTTTGAAGGTCAAAAGTGAAAATCCACATGGATTCTAAATACACAGTGGTCCATAAAATTACGTTAGGTCAATTACACCCAAATCTACAGGTTTAAGGGGATGTTCGATAACAGCTTAATGGCTGTATAACATATATGGCTTATTCGGTAAACCATTGTTGTTCGGAAATGACTTATTGATTCAGAAATGGGCTGAGTCGCTCAGCCAATTGGTAGAGTCATATGCGCTCACCCCTTCTCTTACCATTCCTACCCTTCGTGATAAACCAAAAAAAACACCCACCCTAGACCTGCTCTCCTGAACAATGAGTTGATGCCTCCCTGATCATTGAGAACTGCTATTTTCTTCCCGATATTTCTTTTTGAACAATGGATTGATGCCTCCTAAACAATGGAATATGGAATCTCTTGCTGCTTCCTCGTCCGATCAGCAGCCTTATTGGGCGGTGTTTCACTTCAACCTCTCCAAAACTGGATGAACAGTCAGTTTTCTTCTTAATTTTAACTTCATTTTGGGAGTTTTAGTTCAATGGTGGTATGACCGGATAAAGATGAAGATGGGATATGTTTTTTTCTCAAACGATCCCTAAACACAAATGGGTTTTGTCATGAAGTTCCTGCCCCAAAATCGACGGGGTTATTATAGTTCAGCAGAATCGAAAGAAGATGGCAGATAGGTTATGTTCTTGCAGTTCATGCCCTAAAACACCGGTAAGCAATTTTGGATAATTCATTATAGTGTATATGCAATTTGATGAACTGTAGTGACAGAAGGATTACCTGTCCTTTGAATGAATTGAATCAGTTTTTGGAGATAAGATTAGTGGATGTTGTCAAGAGATACAATTAGGAGATGAATTTGAAGATTGTCAAGCAAAGGGTCATTTCTGCCATTCAGAACGTTTATTCAGCACAACAACCGAACAATAACTTATTTGTTATCATATAGACAACTTTACCAATACAAAAAGTTTTATCCATACAGGTCTTAATGGAAAACGAACCGAACAGCCCCTAAGTCTAACAACTAATCAAGCATACACATCTGAAACATACATCTTTTGATAAATAGAGAACAAAAGATAGGGAGAAGATGATACTCACGTGGCATAATATGATCAAGGTGCATGTAATGGATGCGGGCAATCACAGAATTATGAAATGGATTCAGCAGCAACACCCACATCCTTCCAAGTTTTGAGAGGTTGATAAACTTTTGGCTATAATCTCGATTCAGGCGACAGAAATTCTTCTTGGGCATCCAAGAAGCAACCTGTCGTTGAGTCTATCAACAACTGAAGCAGAGTTGATTGCTGGTGCATGTTAGTGTGTTTGAATGAGAAGAATCCTTCAACAGTTTGGGTTGGTGCAATCTCAAAGTACAACAATTTTATGCAATAAAATTGTGCTATGAAGTTGTCAAAGAATCCCATGCTTCAGGGTCGTAGCAAGCACATTGACATGGGGTTTCATTACCTAAGAGATCTTACAAAAGGAGCAGTTGAGCTTAATCACTGTGGCACAGAACATCAACCGGCAGACATCATGACCAAGCCTCTCAAGCTGAAAATTTTCATCAGGCTGAGTGAAGAATTAGGAGTTTGTGAAGATATAAACTGAATGTGATCAACTCCACCTTTTTAGTCTTTTTACTACTTCCTTTTTGTAAGGCTATTTATAGTGCCTAAAGCTTATTGAGTGAAGTCATCCAGTACTCTCCAGTTACTGTGTAAGTGTGTGTAATCTCTAAATTGAGTCTAACAATTCTAACCCCAAAAAATGCTGACCAGCGCATAAATTGCAGTCACTTGGTAGACTCGGTGTCTGGTTGTATTAAGAGTGACCAATTACTTTGTTCTTTGATGCACCCCTGAAAAAATGAAGAGAGAAATAACTTTTCTAATAATGACAATACATGTAGACAAATTTCAGTACCACATAAATGCTCGATTCTTAATTTGAACTTTGCTGTTATTGTGATTGTTCATCAAGGCAGATTGATATTATACAATGCAACCAAAGATTGATATTTTTCAATTGAATTTGTTATTACTGTGATTGTTGACAAAGGCATATTGATATGCTTGAAAGCAACCAAAGATTATTCCACTAATGGTTCTAAATTCTTAGGACTTGAATCATAGAATTTACTACAATCATGAGATAAGAATCACAGATGGCTTATTGGCTTGCACCCAAGGAAAAAAAACCCGATTTCCACTTTGAAATTTGATAAAACCAGCTTGATGGAAATTATTTTCTATCGAAGGGGTTTAATAGAATCAGCTTAACCAATCCCAAGTTCCTATTCAAATTAGATAGAATCAGTTTAATATAGAATAATTTAGTGTTCAAAGTCGAATATAATCAGCTTAATCAAACACATTTCCTTTATAGAATCAAT